TTAAGGTTACCCCGGACACTATTTTCGTCAAATCTTTCAAAATTTTTAAATTAGTCTGAGCGAATTAAAAGAAGTATATCTACAACTTTGACTAAAGTTTATGCCGATGTATTTTTTTCTAAACTAGTTATAAACAAAAAACGTTTTGAGGTTCTCTGAAACGTGTTTTACTGCTGACTGCGGCTGTCATCGTAAGTCTTGGCGAATTAATAGTCACGTTATCAAAGCACGACGGGGTCACATAACATCACAAACTTCACATCAAGCGATATAAAGACCAAAGCGATACTTATTCCACTGTATACTTGAAAATATCCTTTGCCAAGGCCTTTGGGATTCACCATTTTGAGAAAACTTACTGAAAATTATTACTATTCGCTGCACAGTCCGCGAAGAAGGTCAAACAACAAGGTCACGTTCGCTGAATATGCTCTCCCACCGTTCTTGTATCGTATTTCTTCCTTATGCTTATTGGCTACCGAACGAGTACGCTTGTCAACACTTGATCCCTAATCCTTTAATCCCATTAAACTTCAACTTCATGTTTCGTAAAAGTAGATTTCGATAAAATACTAAAATTCAAACGGTTCGTTTGCAGAACTTATCAGACGAATTTCCTCTAAATTTTGCATGTCGATTCGGACATTACTGAATTTTCAAAGTGTGTCTGCGTTTTTCTTTTTAAGYTTTCTTTGTCGAGAAATAAACAGTTTTGTGAGGGATGAGGTAAAATAGGGCCTAGTCTAACTTTAAAATCAAATAAAAAAATAACGAAGCGTTGAAAAGCCAAACGCAGACACACTTTTGCAGAACAATGCCTTGGTAACAGGATTATCAAAAAAGTTTATCTTTCTACGTAAAACTTTCTGCAAACGAATCTCTCGCGCGGAGACACTGTGTTCTCGTCAAGTCCTTGATGTCTTTTAAAATAATCAATTTTATCAAAAAATACGTCCAGATATGGATTCTTTGTCATTTTGTTTCTCAGAAAATGTATAATTTTTGCGGGTTTCCTATTRAATCGCGCGAGATATGATTTTTTTTAAACACCTCCCGATAGTGTCCGGGGTAACCTTAACCCTATTCAGACTGGGAGGGGGGGGCTTTTGAGCCCCCCTCGCGTAAAAAGCCAATAACTTTCGAATCAAGACAGCTAGAGCTCTGAAACTTTCGGACTTTTCCTAAAATTAATCTGGGCAGATTTTGATGTAATTTTTTTGTTGATAACGTCATCCATGTTGCCATGGCAACCAGTTTTTGACACATAGGTTTTCAAAAATGTAAAATATGCTTAATTTTTCATTTTTAAAGCTTATTTCTTGTTTTATTATGCATCTTTCACCTATTTGAGCTTGCTCCCATTGCTGAATCTACAATACCATAATACTTATTCGACAACAACTTTGGGGGGAGGGGTGGGTAGTTTTCTGTCATTTTGCCACATGGGAGAAAATT